TTTCGAGTAAAAATTAAAGCTAATTCGGCCATTAGAAAATTAAGTTTTTACTTCGTACGTTCTGGACAATCGCTGCACACGATTACAGAAGTCAGAGATTAAACTTACGACAGCGAGTAGCGACAAAAGTATGTTCGTCGCTAATCGCTCGGACAAATTTTCAAGCGTATTTATTAACCGAAGTAATTACAAAAAGCGTTTAATCTCAGCGAGTAAATTCTTCGGCAAGAAGCTTCTTAACTCGTCGAATGTGATTCGGCCTTAACTGAATAGTTAAATATTTAAGTTGAAACGTATAAAATACAGAAAGGGTGTAGTTAAGTATTCGATTGAATATACGAGAAGTTATTTTTCTTTACAGAAAACAGAAAATAAACTAAATTTTCCTTATATTAGACAATAAATTNCGGCCTTAACTGAATAGTTAAATATTTAAGTTGAAACGTATAAAATACAGAAAGGGTGTAGTTAAGTATTCGATTGAATATACGAGAAGTTATTTTTCTTTACAGAAAACAGAAAATAAACTAAATTTTCCTTATATTAGACAATAAATTGTGGAATTTTCTCATTTATTTATCACGTTCGCGTGATGCAAATTCGTTTCGAATTTGTCAATGTCTCCGAGTTTGTTTATTTGAAAATATTCTTCCAAAAATATTTAATATTTTACTAAAATTCTAAAGTATTTTCCTGATCGTATGTTATTTATTAAATCTCACAGATTTATAAATTATTTATTATTTAAAATTTTACATTTAATGTTAAAGAATGTTTATTCTATAATATAATCTATTAAAATGTTTGTCTACATTCTTTTTCTGCCTTCTATCNTAAAATTCTAAAGTATTTTCCTGATCGTATGTTATTTATTAAATCTCACAGATTTATAAATTATTTATTATTTAAAATTTTACATTTAATGTTAAAGAATGTTTATTCTATAATATAATCTATTAAAATGTTTGTCTACATTCTTTTTCTGCCTTCTATCTGCAAAAACGACATAATGGTACGAACAGTGTTTAATCAAATGTCTTCTCGTGTGCAATTATCGATAAGATTATTAATTGTTTTCGTGCAAACTCGTTTCGTGTTTCGAAACTCCCCACTGTACTTTCCTTTATTCGTAATTAAACTTTCAAAATAATCGTTACAGAAATATTCACTTATATAACATTAAAATTCTTCTCGTTTAAGTACTTAAATACTTAACTATTTATTTTAAAAATGTATTTAAGTTTTACGCTTGTCGACGAAACAACAGCCGAAAACTTGTCTATCGTTTCAACTTTGTATATTGACAGTTTTTTTTATCAAAATAGACTCGAAAGTTTCCATATATTTGACTTGGTGAGATAGAAACCATATAAATTAATAAATTTTCTACCCAAAAAAGGAAATTAGAAACCTTTACTATTGTAACAGGAGCCATGGTTTGTCGTGAATATGAACATCCACAGAAAGGTACAAACGACAGTCTTGCCCGTCCCCGAAATAGAAAAAATTCCATAAATTAGAATGGTGAAAGTGATTGATATACGTAATTTTTCACCCTCTACCATTAGATTCTTTTATACAATGCTGTAAGCATAATTTAAAAATAAGGTAATTCTATAATTTGCCGTCGTGTGACTTGGTAAATTGTAATATTTTGAACGTTAAAATCGTATTAGAACCTTGTACAGTGGAACCTCGGTTAACGAACTTAATCCGTTCCGCGACTCCGTTCGTTAACTGAATTGTTCGTTAACCGAAGCAATTTTTCACATAGAAATTAATGCAAATGCAATTAATCCGTTCTAATCTCCAAAATGTTTGTGATTTTATTTGTAATACACAGTAGATTTTCTTTGATGAAAATGTAGGAAAACGTAGTATCTATCATTACAGCAACAAACACGTAAACTTTGTTTAATAAAATAGCACTGTACTGTACATACCTTCGTTTGTTGTAGTTGGTGGCAGAAAAGTGGAGATATACGAACTTTAATGCTTAGAAGGGAAATCCTCTCCAAGAAAATAACGGGTAGCACTTCATCAGAAGATTTTTCTAGTCGAATACTCTTTCGGTAAGAAAGCCCACCAGTGGCTAAGCGGTCTTCGTACCCTGAACACGGGGAGTTTGTTCGTAGGTTCGCACCTCGCTCAGATGAGCTGGCCACGTGGAGTTTTCCGGGTCTTCTCCACATCTGTAACGCCTAAATAGGAGCCAGTTTCCCTTAAAAACACTTCCCAGAAGGCATTTCCCCTAGGAAGTTCGTCCAAGTGTTGCGTTGCCATAACTTAATTAACTCGCGCATGCCTAACACCAACTAAAATTTGACACGAAATACCGTTACGTTCGTTATCCGAGACAAAATTTTTGCCAAATAAAAGATCGTTAACCGGGGTTCCACTGTATTTGTTTTATATTGACGTATTTTATTACAAAAGTAGTCGTGTGTATATATGATGATTGAAAAGCCCGTTAAATTAAATTCTTTGCATTCCAAAGATACCAAAGATTTATTAAGGTATACTTTTTTATACATTAGATGATTGGCATAAAGAATCAGATTCACAAATGTTCAAATATTTTTTTCTATACTCTTTCCACTTAGTGGGCAGTAGAAGGGCTTCTTATAGCAGGCCCACAATAGGGCGACCGGGTGGTGAAGGGCGGGGCCCGACATATCCGAAGGGATCCCGAAAAATTCCTGGGATTTCTTGACCTATTCCGATTCGATCCCGAGTCCCTCAGTAAGGTAGGCCTCCACTTTGTCCGCTCGGCCATCCGGCTTCTATTCAAATAGCTAGCATAATTAAATCTATAATCGAATAATTCTCAATAATGGAATTTAATACTTGCAATTACTTTGGATTAAAAATCCAGAAACAAGTCTTTCCTGGCAACATTTATTGTGTTATCTGTTATGATATTTTATTACAATACTTTTTTGAGGAGCATCACGAACGTGTTGAGAATGTCACGTGGTACCAACTCGGTGTCCTTGAACGAGTTGGTACCACGTGACACTCCCAGCACGTTCTTGTTACTAGTCATTACTCGAGACTAGTCACTGTGACCAGACCCTAAACACCGGAGTTCGATCGGGGGTTCCCGCCTCACTCGGACGAGCTGGCAGCGGGAGTTTTTTCCGGGTTTTCCTCCTTGCCAATGACGCCTGAATAGGGGCCAGCTTTCCCTCCAAGTCCTCCCGGAAGGCATTCTGTCTCCCTTTCTCGCGGGGGTCGGATTGGTCGTCTTCTATAAGACCGACCCCTCCAAGTCCTCCCGGAAGGCATTCTGTCTCCCTTTCTCGCGGGGGTCGTCTCTTATAAGACCGGCTTTGGTTACTTAGTGACCTCTATCCTGTCTTCCTCGGATTGGTCGTTTTCTATAAGACCGACTCTTCCTTACTGTTTCTTCTGGAGTGAAAAGCGCATAGCTATAACACTCCTCTATGAGATATGAGATGAGATGAGACTAGTCACTCTGTATGCTCGCTTTCGGCGGCCACGCGTACAATCGACTAAACATTGCTACAGCATCTTTCAAGTATTCCTGCAAATTTTAATGCTGTAATTTCACATATAATACTGTTTATACGGTTAAATTTTTGTCAGTACAAATACAGTTGTGAGTCACTGTAAGTTTATTTATACACCAGAATTGTTTTAACGCCGCTATGACGTCCTTTTTTGAACTTTTTGATTACAAAAGAAACGATGATGTCTAATTGACGCAATAATTTACACTATTCATTTGTTTTATCACAATATTATTTACTTTTTAAGTCAATTTGAAGTCATTTCTCATTTTATGTAATTGTAAAGCAATATAAAAGTGTACAGTACACTATTTACTGTAGCGGAAACATCAAAAGAAGCTGCCGTATAAGAGAATATGAGAAATGACTCATTTATAAACAAACATCGAAGTAATAAACCATATCAGAAATTCCTCAGGGATAACTAATTTAAGAAAATACACAACTTTATCGAGATTTATTGACAAAGCCATAAAACAAATTCAAACAAGTAAAAATTGCAATAAAATTAAATCATAAGTAGAATGCTTAGAGAAGGTTACGTTCCATTGGACTTTTTAAGGCCTATCTTACGTTCGGCCAGACCTACAATGAAGTATTCCCAAATAGCCCGAATCGGGACTCTCTGGGGAATCCGGGATCGATTGTAGGTAGTCGAAAGCAGCCGCAGTAATTTTTCAAGATGTGTTAACATTAATTATAGTTTGAAAAATACCAAACGTAAAATAAAAAAAAATATTTTTTATTAAATCGTAAAAAAAATAAATATTCATTTTATAAATGAAATGTTTAAATTTCATTTACAACGCTTAAAATATCAATATAACACGTTGTATGTCGCTGTGGGTCGAACCGCCCTCTAACGTTGTTTGTACAAAATAAGATAAAAATTTAATAAATATAATTTTTAAAAGTTTATGTCATTTGAGTCGATAATATTAATTTAATTTTACTTTAAATTAGTTTTAAAAAAAAAGTTAGCTATTTCCGAATGAAACGAAATAATAATAATAATAATAATTCCTTAAATCACGTGATACGTAAAGTTTAAATGTAAAAAGCTATCGATGAATGGTTAATATTTATGTTACATTATCACGCATATTTGTCAACTGTAGCATATTTATTTTTCATTTGGCGCATTTAACAATTAAGAAATCCGTTAATTATAATTCCGTTCTTTACATTTCACCTTTTCTCCAATTTAAACTTGACTTAATAATAATAATAATAAATCCGCAAATCGTAATTAAAAAGATAATTAAAATTTTTCGTAATATTAATTCAGAAATTTTAATTAAATGAAATAAAAAGGAAGGAGATTTATCTATTTTTATCGATTGTATAATTTGTTTATAACAGGACGTAACATCCCCGTCACGTGACACTCACGGCGCATTTTATTGGCTAATCGATGGGCGTACGTAATTTATAAATAGGAGTGGCATCATCCGAATTGGCATTAGCGTGGTTGTGCCCGATGGAGGAAGGTGACGGCAAGAAAATAGTAGACTCGAGACACACCTTAAGGACCACACTTTTTGGATTTTTGAATCAGTTCGCGTACGGTGCGGGTGTTTTGGGCAGCGCATACTTATTAGGATTGTTAGGATGGAGCCCGGCATGGTTAGTATTCGGCATCGCTGGATGGGTGGCAAGGCAAAATTATTTAAGGGAGAAGGAAATCAAAGTTGCCATTAATAGGGCATCGATTGCAGACGAGAAAGGCGTTATACTTGCGAGATTAGAAGATCTACCCTCTTGGGTAAGGCTTTTGTTTTCATTTTCTCCACGTCCACACTCGACCACGTGACTTTTAAATTGTTTACCTTTCTAACACATGATGATAGAAAGGTAAATATTTGTCAATTCTTTCACAGTAAGGACAGATTTTTAGGGATTTTTTAAATACCTTGATACTTAATCAAGGAAATATTGTGTTAAACTAACTAATTTTATAATTGAATGTTTTTTTTTTTTTATAATAAAAATGTACAGTATGGTAATTTCTGCACCTTAATACAGCTGAAAGTATGGATGAGAATGTCAAATTAACACTGTATAAATGTGGTGGTAAAGTCGTGGCTACCGACGAGGCGGTTGGGGCCTCGTCGCAGCTGTAGACTGCACCCGTAGGAGTAAAAATGGTCAAAGGAACTGTGTGACCCTTCGTGAGATGTATACCGATACTACATACTACGTGGCTATGAGAAATGTTGTTGCACAGACTACTTTCAGTGATATATCTATAGCTATGTACTGGAAGTGGTCGCTGCAATGGCATTTTGTGTGTTTTATGACCTTTTAGTCATCTCTAGTAAAGTGGGAAGCATTTGATTTTTATTGTTTTGAGAAATATTTATAGATTTTTTTGTCACATTTAAATTTTACTTCATTTTTGAGAGTTTCCAAAATTCCCGATGGGTCAATTTCGGGGGTTGTAGATCATCAGTTCCTTTCACTTTTTTACTCCTGTGGCAATCTACAGCTCTGATTAGATTTTAACTGTCCCATTCGGAGATGCAACTTTATCTCATTAACATTATTTATGCACCAAATTTTTCTGCTTTTTGCCACCTCTTCTACAGGATCTTATCTTTCCACTTTTTTTTCTACACTTTTATCTTCCTTTATTTTATTACTATTAATATTGTTTGGATCATCTTCACTTCATGTCTCTTCCAATACTTTTACTTCAAGATTCAAGAGGAGAAGGGTAAGAGAACAATAAGATTCAAATGAAGAATCTTCTCCATTTTGTTAATGTTTTTGTGAAAATATGAATAAGAAGAATGTCTTTGTAAATTTTATTATATATATATATATATATATAGCAGGATTTCTACCTAACATTTTTAAAACTGATATTACTTTATGTATGAATTGAAATAAGTCTCATTTGAATTTTAAATCTGTAATGGTATAGAAAGCCAGCTAAGTTTGTAGAATCCAGTAGAGAAATGTTGTTAAAGTTTTACTTGAAAGTTCAGTTATTCTAAAAAAAGAAAAAAGGTACAGTTTACTTTCCGGAACAAATAATATCTTGGATATCTTGACAGTTGCAATATGGTTGAATAAACATCTGATGAAATAAGTTGTTATTTGTTTCAGATAGCATTTTCTATGCTTACGTCTATAATTCTAGCCTAGTCTTCTTTTTAATGATTAAATCTATTTTTATTTCCATATTAAACAAAGTTATGCTTTTGAAAATTCAGAAAATAAAGTAATGCATTATTTATATTTGAGAATATTCTCAAAAGTGAAATGCATTTAATTTTTTTGCCTTTAATTTCTGTCAAAAGGCAATAATAGAATTATTTTTGTTTCCATCATGGCTATGCTCCATATGCAATGGTTTACTGGGCTTCATTTCCACCACCCAACTTCTCAACCATATATATTGAACGTCATCCCTCCACACAGTGAGCCAGGTAGTGACGTGATGCCTGAAAATTTAAGGTTATAAACTGAAAACAAATACTTTCGGTCTGCCACTCTAGAGGAAAGCTCGAGACCTTTTATATTCCAATATAGATATATATTAATTTGTGTAATATAAACAAATTAATGAAAAAATATATATATTTCTATTGTAATATTTTGCTATAAGTTAAACCAGTTGTGCCGAAATGACATATTCGCTGGCCAAATTTGCCACAGAACAATGTGATACATAACTTATAAATATGACAGAAATAGATCTATTTTTGGTATATATTGAATATACAGAATATATGTTGTCCGTATACCTTCAATTTATGTACAATTTGGCTTGAACAACATTAACAGAATAAAATAAATAGTATCAAATTTTACTAAGAGAAAATTTCACATCATACAATGTTCATTCAATAAATTGGTATATAAAATAAATTAGAAATAGAAGTATCAATATTTTCTTGGATATCCTTCTGTTGTATTAATTCTCTCAATCATTTTGGACATATCTTTCCTTTCTGATGTAACTTGGCATTACTAATTTAGTTTATATTTGTACGTTTTACTGTACTTTATATGATAAATATTTTATGACATTTAATATACGGTGATATACAGGTATACATAATAGTTTGGTACAGTTATAAGGTAGCCACTGGCAAATGTTCAGTGTCTTTTGTTTCGGATCATTGTTCTTATAAAATTTAATCATTTAAAATGCTCATATTTGTTGTACTTAAAGTTTTCTGCAGAACATTTACATACATGTGTCATTTCATATTTGAATCTACAACCACTAAATTCCCAATACCTTGTGCAGATATAATGGAACCTCCATAGTATACAGTTAGTAGAATATTTTTGCTTAGCATATATTCATTCGACTTTCTCGATTCTATCTTCTTACCATCTAATCCAAATAGCTTGAATCCCAACACTTGACACATGATTTTAATCAAGTGTTTTACTCTATACACTGGGCTCATTACATACGTATTTTTGGCATTTTTTGCAAATATATTGTCTTTGTGCCTACCGTGTGGAAATCCTTTTCAAATGTGTCTGATCCAGATTCCCCATCAGACATCAGAAACAATAGATTCCATCTTGTCAATACCTTTATCTGTGTTTTCTTCAAGAAAGTCATCTATCAATACATTTCTTAATCCACTATTTACAAAATACTCATATCTGTCATCACACACAGCACATTTGTGTATGCGACTTTCTCGAAAAATATAATAATAAGCTATTTCAAATCAAGAAACAGCAAATTATGAAAGCACAAATATACAATGGGAATAAAACAGATATATGGATAAACTAAAAGTACAAGGAGTGTAATGTGTTTACAACTGTAGTGTCAAATTTAACTGTATCTCTACAGCAGGAATTACATAAATACACAAAAACTCAATGCATTACCAATTAGAAACATTTAAGGCATCTCTGGTGCAATTATATCAGCAAAGTCATGCTATATAAAGGGATTCAGATGTGTTCTTGTGTGCATTAAAATTTTTAACTCTTTTCCTCTTTGTATCTAAATCAAAACAGCCAAGTTCAGAGTGAGAAGTTTATGATCTTTCTTGAGATGTCTAATGATTGACCTGTCTTTTACAGTAGGCATTAAGTAAAGATTTAGGACCTTATTTTACCTTGTCAGGAATCTGACCCTATCATTTATATCTTTTTATAATATACTGCACAGCTGAGTAATTAACTTCTAAGGATATCTTCTCAGTTGAGTAATTAGTGAGGTTGCAGCCAAAGTTTTTATCTCTAAAATGTGAACGTTGAATGTCGAGCACTGCTATTTTGTGCTTACATGATAGCGGTGCTTGACGTTTGACGTTCGCATTTTAGAGACGAAAAATTTGGCCGCAACCTCGCTATTAACTTCTAAGGATGAAACAAAAGGAAGTTTGTGTAATTCCACAGATGTATTTTTTGAATTACACAATATAACTGAAATTGAAAGTATATTATTCCTATAAAATGGCTGTGATATTAATAGAAAATTATAAGATAGCAGATATACAAAACAAGGTTATTCTCATATTTGCATGAATATCTACATATATAACAACATCCATAACCTGATCCTGATATACAGTAATGACAGTATGGTTGCATCTGGAGCCATTAATTTAGATACGAAGATTGGACAGAAGACTAGGTAGCCGAAATGGCAACGTAACTACATGTTAAATTGGAGTTGTGGGTTTGAGTTCCACATTCTTTTATATAAGAGTATTCTAGATTAAGGTTGCAAAAGATATAACAGTGTGAAATACAGTTTTAACCATCAGATACTTTAATGGTGCAAGGCCACTGTGCTTTGGATAGGTATAAAGTCTCTGTAGATTACAGTCCCCTTTTACACAGTACTTACAAATCTCTAGAATCTCTGAAAATTTAGCTATGGATGATTTGCAGCTATCAAAGCATCGTCAGAAAGAACAGCATTTACTATCCAAATTGACAAAAAACTAAATTTAGTTATTGAATAAATTCAATTTATTGCTAGAACGAACCTTTTTAATCTTTTTCAAAGGTCATGTTTGGGTTCTTCAGTATATCTTTATTTGATTGATGGCCAAGCAGTTGAAGTGGTAGTATATTACTTTGGGAGATCAGCGATCAAATCAAGACGGGTTGATAAACTCCAGGAATATTTCAGGAAGTGGTCCATCTGGATATGTCAGATCACATCCCTCACCGTCTCATTTTGGGTCTGGTTGAACCTATAATTGCTCTTTCTAAAACGTCCCTGTTAAACTTAGTTTACACTGAGTGCGATTCACTAGCGAAAGCAAAAAACAGAGCAAATAACCCATCAAACAAGTCATGTTTGATGGGTTATTCGCTCTGTTTTTCGCTTTCGCTAGCAAATTGCACTCAATATGAACTAAGCTTTAGTTCCCCAGAGCAAAAAGAATTGAGAGAGAAGGAGGTGGTTATATCTGTGCATGAAAATTTCATGATTATTACAATAACATCACATGAAAGATACTAGCCAGTCACTCAAGTTTTCCTCATCAAGAAATGAGTGGTATACTATTAAAAATGTTCTTTATTTGAGAAATGCTATTAGTTACTGTGGATGTAAATGTGGTATTGCAGGTTTACTTTATGAATTATTATTGTATGTAATTATTTAACTTTATTATATATTTATTGACAAATTCTCTTGATATTTAAAAACACAAGATTTAAATATGCAAGTAATATAGATTTTTACAGAGCACATTTACATTATTGTATATTTATAACCATTCATGACATATACAGATAAAGGATGTAATGAATTCACATGTTCAATATTTTAACTGACGTTTATCGACAATGCATTTATCATTTGTTTATCAACATTACCAGAGGGTGACATTTAAAATATTTAACGCATTATAATGCATATACATCCAAGTGTTATCTTTTAATGAAAGTGGGCTAAGTTAAATAAAAACTCGACATTTCTTCTGGAACCTACAGTTAAGCAAATAAATGCATTGAAAAATACCATAGGCATCTTGCCCAGTTTTACCGTGAAGACTGAATGGTAATATTGTCAAGAAAAAACTCGCATCCCAGATTTAAACACCAAAATATATATGAAGAATGTGGTGTGCTACATATTTATGTTAGTCAAACTGTGGCTCTTCTAAGTCCTTACTATGGCTCCTGTATTCTTAAACAGTTTCTTTTCATAAACTTGGTACATGCTTCTTACACGTATGTAATTTTGCTGAATATCCTATAGCATGATGCACACATGGATTATAAGTGTTACTTGCAACTGAACCTCAAGCAGGCAACTAAAAGCTAAAGTACATTCCTAAAATTGAGGGATTTTAGTGTTTATCTGGCCAGTTTCTGTAGTAAAAGTAAAGTAACAGTGATATTTTCATAGTATTTTAACAATTTATAATAGAGAGGTTGCGGCCGACGTTTTCAACGCGAAAACGTGTACGTTGGACGTTCAGCGCCACCTTCCTGTAAGCCTAGAAGTCTGACAATGGCATTTGGAATGTCAGTGGAATCATGCTCGATGTTCCAAACGCCATTGTCAGACTTCTAGGCTTACAGGAAGGAGGCGCTGTTAGTCCGACGTTCACGTTTTTGCGTTGAAAATGTCGGCCGCAACCTCTATAATATAAAATACTACTGTTCTAATGGAGGATGTGGCTTTTGCATATTTCTGATAGACAATCTACACTCTTATGATGATGAGGTTTGACTATTCTTGTTTTATAGGACCAACCTAAGTCATTTTGATAATGTCCCATATACTCTAACTTGGAAATAGATTTATTTTCACCTTGAATTAAAGCCAATAACTCTAGGACAATAATATTCGGGTCGGTCGGTCTTCATTTTTCTATTTAACTTATGTCTTGCTTATTATTATTATTTTATTATTACAGAAATTCATAGTATAATTTGTTTGTCAAAATTAGAACTGAATTTATTTATCAAATATTAAGTTTGAGTTTTGGACGAGGGAAAAAATAATATATCAAGGACAACAACATAATAGTGTTATGACCTGTGGGAAATATAATTGATAAAGATGAACTGTTGCTTTCTGTTAGCTTTAATTTGTTTTATTGTACAGTAAAACATAACAATTGAAATTTATTATGTTGTGTGTGCAGGGTGGTTGGAAAGTAATTAGGCATAGAGAAATTAGTATAATTTTCATAATTATAATGCAGTCATAATAAAATTTGTGTGCATTTACATCAAGGAATGAAATTTTATAATTTCCTACATCAATGATGTGGATAATGACAGAGAGGTTGCATGCAAGTGGCAGAAAAGATGGCTGATTGTTTTGCTTTTCTTGTTCAGGAGCGAGCCCAGATTGCTGCTTGCTATGAGGTATGGAAATTAGTGGTTGCTGTGCAGAGATGCTTGCATATGGTGAAGAAATGTCATGCTACACAATCAATCTGGAAACAATCAAGCATTCTTGCTCGAAGTTAATGACCACACATTCGGTTGTGGATGCACAGTGAAGGGGCTGTTAATCCACATCACTATCCCTGTTGTTTGAGGAAGTTGGTGGATGTTGCAGGTATCTACATTGAATTTTAAGGTGTGCCTCTGTGTTCTCATTTAATAAGATACGTGTCGAGTAATTTTTATCATTCTTATGTTTGAAATATAGAAATTAATATAATGAAATATGCCTAGTTACTTTCCACCCACTCCTTATAAAGAGCTAACATAATAACATAACAAATGTTAATTTTTTCCGAAAGAACACTTTTAATGTTCATAATCACAAGAAATGTATCTCTAGCATAAAAAACATGGAATAAAAATATATTTTAATAGTGTATTTAATATTTCTAAATATTAGAAAACATTGAATTTAAATTTGTTATAAATGTAAATATTTAATTTTAAATTCATTGAATAAAAACAATATTTATATTTACGAAGATATATGTTAAATGATCTGAAAGAAAAAAACTCTATTGAAAGTTCTGGTATCTGTTTGCAGATTGAATTTATTATTTATTTAGGTCAGGAATCTATTTACATATAACGTTATCTAACAGATATTTAGCTTGTTCAATGCCAGGTTTTGTTAGGATGATACTATATAACCTGCTTAAATGGTTATGTAATGTCATTAAATAGTAATTCTATTCAAAAAAAGTTAAGTTTAGACAATAAAAAACATCATTTTGTAACTTCGGTGACAGGGGGAAGTGCTCTTCCTGTTTGAAAAAGAAGATAATTGTTTAAATTGCCCGTTTCTCAAGTTAATTCTATCGGTAAATGTGTGATAAAACTTGCGCATAGAAACTTTATTTGCTATACACAAAGCTTAGAATTGTTTAATTGGTTAATTATTTAATTTCTAAAGATGAGTTACATCTTCTATATTGATCTTTATACAATGCGTACAAAAAATGTTTAAAGAATATATGATATGAAGTGTTTAATTTTGAATGCATTTGCTGGATTATCTTTAAACGTATGCCTAATGACAGGTTAAAATGATAATTACTCTGAACGTTGTAAAATTAATGTTTACGGGAACATTCGTAGCCGTGCGTCTTTCGTCGCAAAAGATTTGGACATTTATTATTTACTACTATAAACTAGAATATAAATTGAATTATACTGTAATTTAAACTGCAAAATAAATTTTTATAGTTTTATACGAAAATATCATTAAGCAAAAAGGCGAAAGTTTTCGGTAAAAGTTGGAAAATTGCCAGATTTAATCAAATAAAACCTCTAAACAGACACAGGAAATAAAATGAAGGGAATTTGAAATCTTTTTATAAAAATATAAATAGCCAAATAAATAAATTTTAATTGTTTCTAACTTAAAATACTTTACTAAATATGTTTTTTTATGATATTAATATTACTTTAAAATTTGTTTCATTTTTCATTATAATTAAATTTAGAATTAAAATATGTAAAAATGATTGGAAGTATGCATTTAATTCTGAGTTTTTTCTATGCTAGATTCTTTAAAAAAAGTGTGCCAAAAGTTAGTTAACTGTTGTAAAGATTAAATTGTAATTAATTAATTCAGTTATACATTTCTTCTTACTATACATTTCCATTAATTTTGATTAAAAAAATGTGATTCGAAACCACTTTTTACATTTCGATTTACCTTTACAGGTGTGCCGAAACGCAAAAAATGGTTAACTTACTTTTACACCTCCCTTTAATTTTTCATACTTTTACTAAATTTTTTTTATACACTTCGTCTTTTAGTAATTTTATGTAAATTTTTTATAGGTGTTTTTTCCAGATATAGAAAGAGCCGAATGGGTGAACAAAGTACGTATGTTTTCTTTGATATTTTTCTTCTTTTATGTTTATATTTTTTATATGTTATTTATAGTTGCTATAAATGTGTTTGATAATTGTTTAAATGATTAATCTAAGCTGAATAGTATACAATTAAATCATGCAAATTAAGCAGGAATGCAGGTTTTTTCTAGATTAAGTAGACCTATAGTTTGGCTGTAAGCTTTCTATATATGAGACTGTTTTGAGTCTTCTAGTTTATGATATCTCTGATAATTTGCGGATCCTTAATTCTTCTTTGGCCTTCTCCAAATCTAGACAAAATACAATTTGCTAGTGAAGGAGAAAGTGTCCAGACTTCATCATACAATGGTTAAAGACCTAAAAGTGGCTATCGGAGACTGCTTTGATGATTTTCCTTCCTCGTCTCCATCAAATAAAGAGCATACTTCCTCTTTTCTTGACTAAACAAAGAAGGAAAAACAAAGCAGTTTTAAATTTCGACATGGGAGACGAGATCATTTTCCACAGTTTTAAAAATTTAAATGTACAGAAGTATTAATTTACATTATTGATTTTTGTTTATAAATAGTTTGATTGTTTCGAACATTATATGTACCGTACATTTAATCTGAATTATTAATGACTTAAACAGCAAGAGTTTATGTTCAGACTGTTTAAGGTTAGCTAATAAATAAATGAACAATGTAATTTATTTATTTATTTATTTATTAACTCTGTAGTAGCCCAAGTGTAATACAGATTTAACTGAATAAATTAAATGTTAGATTTTGTGATTTATTTTTATCTTAAGATCATTTTTTATTCTATTGAAGTGCCTACTACGACATATGTCTTTTCTGGATCGATCTAGTGTGTCAATCAATCCAATTGCATTCATGCCTAGTGTTGGTGTTGTGCTGGATAATCAATTCAGACAGGCAGGACAATGTTTCCTGGGCAGTTGCCGAGTATTTACTTCCACTTTTACATACAAAATTTACAACTATATGTTGATTTGAAGGCAATGTTTGAGGCATGAAGTGAAGACACAACCAAGCAAAAGCACGTCAACCAGAAGAGAGAGGTTAACCTCAATCCGATGTAACATAGGTTGGGAACGGTGGTCAAGCATCGTATCGCCAAATGTTGCACTATTGATTGTGATTTGAGCGAATGTTTGAAGTTCCTCTTTCAAACAGAATGGATTTGAAAGATAACTCTTATGCCTCATAATAAATATAAGAAAAGTCAAGGATAATTGTCCTTGTCTTTTCTTTTTATCCTTGATGATCTAAAGACAGAAGTAAATCACAGAAACATTAATAACTTATTATAAATGTTACGAAGGACTTCTTAAAGGATTTATTTAGGTATTTTATAGTATATTTGAATTCAGTTGCCACTACTATAACTATAACACTCATGTAACTTCTACCATTCAGGTAGCATTGTGTTCATTGTAGCTTTATGTATATTTATAACTAACTTATAAAAACATTACAAAATTTAAATTATAACTAGACTAATGTAAAATAAAGAGAACTAATGAGGGACACATAGTTCAAAATGCATAGCTTCCATAATTAATAAAGTTTGTAAATATATCTTCATTGTGCATTCGTTTGTGATTCATTCTCTCGAGCAATCTTATGCTTATTGCTAACAATTAAAAATGAGAACAAGAGGCAATCGAGGTTTATTTTAGTTTGTTTGAATAAAGAATTTGCAGATGTGTCATTTAGATTGGCGATTCTTAAAGTGGGTGCTAATGCTCCCTCGAGGGTGGCGGAAGACAAGGTAGACAAAAGTTTAAAAAAAAAAAAGAACTAAAACAAAATGCTGTTAACAATCTATTAAGAATTATTAAGTTTTAACCTATTATTTAATATTTTTATTTTCATTTTTCATGTTTTTTTAGCACTTCTTTCCAATGTTAGAGTACAATTAATACTTTAAATTTTGGATTCTAAATTAGTTTCTACATTGTTAGATTTTGTGTAAAAGCTTTAAAGATAACTGTTGTATTCTACATATGTTTCCAGCAGTTATTGATTATTTTCTTAAGTGTTCTATTTATAAATCACTTTAAGTTGCTTTAGGTACAACTTTTACATTTCTCAATTGCTTAAGAATTAGTGAGTTCATAAGATTATAAATTTACTTCGAAAATTAAAACATTCTATTTTAAATTTTCCTAAAACAATAATAAACTATACTGGAACTAGAATAATTATAAAAAACACCACCTTTTTTAATCATCCAGCAAATAATGTTAAAATGTTTTCAATTGTTTTAACGGCCTTTGTCAGTTAAACTCATATTAACAAAAAGAACATTAAATAGAACATAAGGAATTAAATATGAAAAATAATAAATTGCGCCTGTGTAAATACAAATAAATTGCACATGAAGACTATCTATATATTTATACAATAAATAAGTAAATTAAAAAATATATATATAACCAAAAATATGTGTCTGCATCACTATATGCTGTTATTGCCTATCATCGTAAAATGATTTCCATGCTGTTGACAAAGAATCCGCATCTCTATGATTAATACACCTTGTTTCTACTTACGCTTTATATATCTCTAGCTTTTCAAGATGCTTGATTGTATGTTTGTTAGTCGTAGGTCTAATGATGGAAGCCTGGTCCCATAAAATGTTAACATCTGTTGCATATGCAGAACGCCAAGGTCCTTGCCCCAAAGGCACTCAGAATATTTGCGTTTGGAAAAACTCATAAACCGGGTTGCCAAATGTCGCCAATTATAGAAAAATGTAATTCTTCCACATTCCGTATTGAAAAGCAACTGATTGATTTATTCATTCTAAAGAACAAAGCCACCCCTTTACTATTACAGACCTGCTGCAGTTAATAGAGAAGCTTAAAGAGATTGCTCTCAAAGATAATGAATACATGACTGTTATGGATTATGAATCTTTATATATCTCTATAAAATTGCCTCCATGTTTCTGTGCTTTAAGGGATTTTATGTTTACCAACATCGAGAATTCCATGAAACACCATAAACTCATCCTAGAGCTGGCTGATTTAATATGTTATACATCTTTCTTTGAGTTTGAAGGGAGTGTTTTCTTTCAAGGTCAAGGAGTTTCAATTGGTAGCCCAGTGTTGTCTATACTATGTGATTTGGTGTTACAATAACTTGCGAGTGCTATTTGTCCTGTATTCCAAAAAGATATTATTCTATACAACTACGATTACTAACAAGCTTCCCAAATGCATTTGGTGAAATGCATTCGGGAAGCTTGTTAGTAATAATGCAAATAAAAGTTTTTTCTCTGCAGATTATTTTCTTTTTTATATATTTTTAAACTCTTTTTTTAAAAAATTTTTATAGTCACTATTGGCTTGTTTTTTTAAAAATTGAAGTTTTATATTATCCAAAAGTCAGAAGGGAAAGAAAAATATAATTTTTTGTAATTTTACTCCTTATGTTCTTTTTAATGTTCTTTTTGTTAATTTGCATTTAAAAATGATGTTTAACTGACGTTTTAATAATGTTAAAATGGTTGAAAACGTTTTTACATTATTAAATATTTTGCTGGATGATTAAAAATGTGGTGTTTTTTATAATTTTAAATTTTCCAGAGAATTCTTAATATTGTCTGCCAATTTTTGGATTTAATTTAACTGAAAATGTTTAATAAATGAGCTTTTAATGTGTGGCTAGCTACCCTTATTTACTGTAGGTTCAAATGTAAAGTACTATGAATTTTTATACGACATGGAACTATGTGCCAGTAAGACATTCGGGACTATCACCAAGCTTTACGACCGTTAACCTAATGGGTACTTTATGCGAGTTTGCGGTTAGTATGTCAGGCCTGGGCTTACGCATGCTCCGGAAATAACTATGTACGAGGGTCGGTAAGGAACTCAAATATTTAATATTAGCTCAATTATTCACTATGTACAAATTAGTAAGAATCAAAAACAATTTATTTAATGAAAAGAAACAACTCAAAAAACCCAACAAAAAATAATACAATTTACTTATTAACTTAGAAACTATTGCCCATCAGAATTCGACAATATCAAACAATTAAACTATGTACAAAGAATCTTATGAAACTATGATCCTATCCATCACCTCAATACTAGGAACTTTTTTCCTTTTATCTAACTTCCTTTGAACCACTCCTATCGCTATCCTCAAGACTTGCTTCCAATCTCACCCTGGAATTAACCTCGATCGCTTTCTGTCTGGAGCTCGTCTCGCTCTATCCCTGTCTGGGGCTCACCTTGCTTGTCTTCTCTGGTCGTGTTCGTTTTATACTCTGAGGTGATGTTACAATTATTTCTGGAACCACTCTCCTCATTTACATACTTAACTTTTAACAATAAATCTTCATGTCTTTTCCTGGGCAGCCTAGTTTCCGACATTTCTCGCTAAATCCTTTTACATTATTCTTTTTTATTACATATTTGGGATGTTTATTTTATCAAGGTCTAGCAAGTTCTCTACTTTGTGCGTGTGGGGTGTTCTCCCCTTCTTTCTGTGGAAATTCTTTCAAACTTCTGCCTGGGAGCGCAAGTGCACGTTAGTTTCCCTATGGCGCTTTTTCTAGTCGGTGAGTTGGATTTTTCCTTTGTCTCTTTTTGTTTCTTTTTTCGTTACTAAGGTGAGTGGTGAGGGAACCTTCGTCCTAACTAAACATAAAGCCCAAACAAAATTGAATAAAAAGTAAAATAAAAATTAAATAATAATACAGCTCAGACTCAGTTCCTTACACACAGATGTCTAGTACCTGAGCCTCCTTGAGATTCTCTGGATGGCAAGGAAAAATAGGTGTTCGTAAAGCTCTGTCAAATAGACTTGTATATACTTTATGGCAAATCTCATTGATTTAATGAATTCTCTCCCAATGATTAAGAAAATATGCTTTGTTATAGTTAATTCATTAAAATGTTAAATAAACATTTAACATCTTAATGACTTATAGCTATTCTGATTTGTCTTTGAGGATTTAACTTAACCTTTGTATATGAGCCAGCAAAACTCGAGAGAACTCAAATCATCAAAACTATGTATTTCCAATGCTACAGTATGGACATTAATTCATTTGGAATAGAAGGAATTCTGATGGAATACTATCACAACCAGGCATGTTATGAGTACGTAAATTACAAATCACACTTTGTATCTCTTCCAAGGGTATAACTTTATCTGAAATACTCTCATTTTTATCTTTAATAAGTGTTATACACTGTGATAACTCCTCCCATAATAACTCATCTGTATCGGGACATTTATATAAATTAATATAAAACTTAGTAAATTTATCTATTATCTCATTTGTGTCTGCAATCTCCGTATCTTCAATAATTAATTTATCTATTTCTATCCATTTCTTAGCCTTATTTTTCTTATTAAACGACGTCCATTCAACTTCCCTGTTAATTTGCAACCTTCTCATCTTATAACAAATATAATTCTCATTATTTTTATAATCAATCTCAATACTTATTTGTTCCTTTATTCATTTAATATCCTCCACTTTATTCTTAATTATACAATGATTCAATTTTCACTGTAATGACTTTAATTTGTCAAACCTATCTCTTTTCATCTTTTTCCAGGTTTTAACTACATCATCATTTATCCTACTTTTAACAGTAAGCCATTTATCCCAAGTAATTTTTTCTTCTGTTATATCTAATAATTTATTAATATTTGACTGAAAAGACTCATCCTGTAAAATATCTTTAGAAAACCAAACAATACGTTTTCTGTCAATATGCTTTCCTAAATCCAACTCCAATTCTACCATATCATGATCCGACAGTTTAACACCTTTATTTCGTAATTCATAAGTAACAATATTTTTAATTAATCCAACACCTTCTGTCATATAGATACGATCTAATCTTTCTAAAACACCTCTACCTTCCTAAGTAAATCTAGAATTAAATAAATAAACACTTCGATAATGATTTTAATCTTATTGATGTTTAAGTATTTTAAGTAAAACCTGACGGGAACCATCAGAATGTAAAGGTCTGTTCTTATCAAGAACTGTGACCGTTGGGTCGGCATCTGTTTGATACCCCATCAGGATGACACCACTGTATTTTTAGGTTGATATAGAGACCACAAGTTTGCACGAGAGGTTACGTATGAGTTTTGGACCCGGAATGGAGTGAACGGAGAGAAGAACGGAAGAAACTGCACTCAAAGTTGCTTTAAACATAAATAACCGTTTATTTATGTGAAATCTAAGTTAGTGTACATTGGAATTTAAGTTGCTATATATCAGTTACGTGCATCGCATTCGTTCTAGTTCAATTCCTAGTTACAATCGAGTTTGCGATTAGCTAGCAGGGAGAGAGAGAACGTACAATAGTGCGCGGGCAGGATAAATACCTTATATTATACTGTTGATTGAGTAACAGCAAATAAAGTCCCACAGGAGTTAAATAGGTGAATTGATATTGTCCAGTTCAGTCATTGAGGAGGAGGTGTTGGGTTCCAACAGGAACAGTCTCTCAAAGACAAACTCGGTGCGGCACACACTCACAATCAAATAATAACTTCCACCCCCTTACTCATCGTGCTTGTCATTTTTATACGAAGTCCTCTTTTCGGGCCTTTCCCCGATTTCGTCGGGGATGACGATCTCCTTGGACCAATGAGGTGATGGGTGACACAATCGTGACACAGAGATGTACTCATCTCAACAAGGAACCTAACTCATGGGAATTGAGGTTTAACCAGATTTTATGTTTCCCTTCTCTTTTAATTTTCTTTATAACTCGTTTTGTCTTTATAAAGTTGCATCCCAAGTTTAATTAAAATTTTAGAAAAAATTTAAAGTTTATAACACGAAATTTCTGACCCTCACAGAACATTATTAAAATCTCCCTTCAAAATAACCTCCCTACTTACTGCTAAAAAATTTTCTTTCCATTCCATTACACGAGGCGAAGCATAAAAACTAATAATTCGTAACAACCTATTTCCTTTAGCTATATCCACTGCTATTATCTATCCATCAGAATCTGATCGAAAGTCCTGTATTTATTTCTTAATCATGACAATGACACCGGTACTCTGTATATTCGAAAAGGAAACATATATATTATAATTTACATATACTCTCCTAAGGTCTCGTAAATCATCAAAATTTCTAATGTTAGTATGTTGAATTGCCAAAATATCTATATTTCGAGTTAACACCATATTTGTTATTCAGTTACTTCACAGAAATGACTGAATAATCGTAGAAAAGAAGAAATATATCCTGGTTAACTGACTTTATTTCCTAATTGCTACCTAATTGCTGGTAAAAGTAACAGTTTAAGATGATTTTTCTTTTATAGATTTAAAATTAATGAAAAAACAAAGAAATTGACTCTAAAATTAACTATAGTGGTACCTTGACTTACAAGTGTCCCAACTTAACGAGTTTTTTCAGATACGGGCCGTCTCTTGGCCAATGTTTTGCATTGAGTTGAGAGCTAAAATTCGGGTTACGAGCCAGCTTCGGATACCACCGCTAGTTTGCGCAGCGAACTCCACGGCAAACCATAGATTAAAAAAAAAAAGATGATGGAAAACTGCCGTAATTTTGTCATTTTCGTTACTCTTCCAATGTCTGACAGGCTAGCTTATAGAAAAACATGTGATCAAGTGATGTCGGCATTAGTTCACTTCCATGTTGTGTGTGGTGTCGATGCATGTGTCTATGCATCTTTATCTTATTATAGTGAATGCAGCAATATCCACAAAACAAGTTTATTGCAGTATATTCTATTGTCTTTATACAATATTTGTTATTTATAAGTATATTTTTCTTATTTAAAAACATGTAAAAAAAATTCCAGTGTTCGGAACAAATTAATGGCATTTCAATTCACTTTTAATGGGGAAAATTGATTTGACATGACAGTAATTTATGTAGAATGAATTAAACTCGTAAGTCAAGGTACCACTGTACTTTTTTTGTATTTTCCTTTCAGATATTGAGGCAATTATGGCCTTTCGTCGGACATTATGTAAAAAATCTTTTGAAAGAATCGGTAGAGCCAAGTATAAGACAGAGCTTGCCCTTGTACCTGAGAAGTTTTGTATTTGAGAAAATCATCCTTGGTGACGTCGTAAGTTTTTCTTCAGATTTTTTCAGATTAAATAGTTTATGTATAGTTGCAACTTTTGCGGAATAATTTACATATAATTAAATGTCTACGTAATAAAATAGTGAAAATGCATCATAAAAGTGTTTACTGATGGAGATTTGATAGTTTGTTGCTGATGTAATTAACAATTAATAATAAGCTTAATTGTAATACTATTTTTATACTTTCCAAATAACATTCCACCCTTCACTTGATGTTCCATAATTTCCACCCTAAATTTACGTAATGCTTATCCTAATCAAGATTGAAACAGAAGACAATATAGAATTGGCCAAGTCAATGAGATTTTGGAATTGCAAAGTGATGTACCGTGAATGATCTCACTTGCCTGCCTGTTCCCCTATATTTCTATAAATATCTGCAGCTTGTGATGCATTATAGTAATTATCTGAATATCCACTCATCTGTAAGTGCAATATGTAATTTATGGACAACTCGTAATCATTGAATTTATTGAACTATAATAGTCAAACATCGGGTTTCGAATGCCTCTGTTTACAAACTTTCAAACACCATATTTGCCCCGGTTGCCTTACGATAACTCAGTTGCTGAACAAGCTACCGTACAAGACCATCTTCTCCCTATACTGCCTGTGTTAAAAAAAATTGACAGCCCAACCAATCAAGGACACGACTACCAATTCGGAAGTTAGTGGTGTCAAGATCTCCTGGCATCATTACACGTCTGAACACGAACCATCAATGACATAGTTATTCAAATTATATTTCAATGCGCATGCAAATAAGATACTACTATTGTTTTTTGGTATGTGTCGCAATTGAATTTAAATCAAATTAATTAATAAAAACTATGTTAATTGAGGTTTGCATAATATAAACGATCGGCAATTAAGTGTTTCAACTAAACAATTATTTATTACTATTTTTAGCTATTAACAGCGTATTTTGAATGTATTGAATCTCGGAAAAAATTACACAGTCAATCCGTAAATTTATAAAAAAAAAGAGGAGCAAAAACTCTGGCATAGAATTTAAATGATTGATAAGAATTCTGTGGGTTAATATTCTTGCTAATTAACCAAAACTGTTTGAATTACAAGCAGATTTATGAACATTAATCGACGATTTGCAAGTTCGATTTGTAGTCGGACATATTTTTCATTTACTGAAAACTTTAATTAATTCAAGTATTAAATTACACTCCGGATGAATTTTCCAGAGCGTAGTTTGAACCTGCAACTCTATAATCTAAATTTCTGAAAGACGGACATTGATTTTAAACAGAATTAATTAAAAAGTAAAGTGAATGATATATATGCCAATAAAGAAAATAAATTAAGGTACAGCATTTCAAAAAGTGCAATTTAAATCGTGGTAATTCGATCTCGTCCACTCGAGAAATTAAAAATACACACGTTTAGATCATTTCAATGAATGGTTCTTTTACTTAGAGAATGAATGCTTTAATTAAAGTGTATTTAATTTTAAAAAAAATATATTTTTAACTTCTAATTTTCTTAATTATCATTAATAAATGCTAATAACGTGCCGACGATCAAAACTTTATTCTAATTAAACATAATTGTTTAAAAAATAGTTTTAAAATGAAGTTAAATCTTAAAAATACACAAGATTAATTATAAAAGTTAAAGAATGCAATTAATTACTATAATTTAAATTATAATGTTGTAATAAATGTTATATGTTATTATGATGTATTGTACTAAGTGCATACTTCTTGTGTCGTTCCTTTTGGTTTTTATAAATAAAAATAGAATTTGCATTTCGTACAAAAATTCTAATGAAAATTAAGTAGAGAAATGACAGAATTTTTGAAGTCGAGCCTCTAAAAAATGCATTTGGGTGTTGCATTTTATTAGAAATTAAGAACGTAACAAGCCGTAAGTGACCTTGCAGTAATTTGTAGTTATTAACTTCAGTTTAGCTGCATTTAGATGATTGCGTGTTGAAATAAGATGTGAAATTTATTTATTTTTAATCATTTTATGATGATTTAATATATAAACTGTACTTTAATAAATAAACTTAAATAATTTTTAGTTTATTTTCTGTTATTTTGCTTTTTCTTCCTTTTTGAATATTTTTTTTCCCCTAGAAAATGGAACTTTCTTAAGATATATTGAATAATATTTAATACTCCCTACTGATTTATTGGGTTATTTAATCTTTAAATGGATAATTAACTGGTGAATTTTTAGTTTGTATGTTTTTTGCTGCAAGTGTCAGCTTAATTAAGGTTGCATGAAGCAGAAAACAGGAAAATAGAATTGTTGCCAAAGCCCTGGGGGCTACTTGTGGACTTCAGGTAGCTTGCAACTTCTCTAAATGACAAGAATGTTGATCTTCTGGTGCACTAAAAACAGAATGTCATCTGAAAATTTCGGTGTAATAATACTCTTATTAGTTTTATACAGTGACGAATTATCCTAAAATCAAACTATTTGTTTTCGGCAAGCAATTGTATGTCGAATGCAGGTTCGTGCGCAGGATCTTTGTGTCGGCAGCCTTGTTTGAATGTTTCATTATAATAATTATAATTGAAATTTGAGTGATTCTGAAGATGTTAACATATTTGGAGGCCCTAAACAACAGTTTTATATATAATTATTTACTTCTAAGTAAAGATTTTATAACATTTATTTTTAGATGTAAATTCATTAACTTATGATTATGTATTTAATCTCTAGCCTCCCAGAATTGGCGGAATTAAAGTATATCAAGAAAATGTTGCCAGAAACGAAATTATAATGGATTTAGAAGTTATGTAAGTATATACAAACATCGCTAAACCCGATATATAATATAGCTACACACCAACCGAATGCCGAAAATCTATCGGGCTAGTATAAGGCTAGCTAATTCATCTAATAATTAGCCTTATACTAGCCCAATAGATTTTCGGCATTCGGTTGGTGTGTAGCTATGTTATGTAAGTATCCAAATTTATATTTTTTTACATAATTTTTGATGTTTAATGTTATTTATATATGCTGTTTTTCTTTATTCCAATGACTACAATTAGGTACTCGGGTGATTGTAACGTTCAGGTAAAAGTAAAAAGGATGAAAGCCGGAATTAAGGATGTTCAGGTAAGTCATTAGATATATACTGCAAATATTACACATCATTATAATATCTGTGTATATATTGATTACTATTATAAGAGTTACTGTACTATTGAATTAATGCATTGAAACATCACATTGAAACATTTTGGATATATTTGTCATTATCTTTAGTTAAGTGAACATTTTACAGCTGTCTTTTTACATTAATAGCTTCAAATTCTCATTGACAGTCTTAACGTTTTAAATATTAATCATTGTAATTATTATTTGCTCGTGGCACAGGAGTTTAAATGCCAACATTTCTTTCTTTAGTGATGTGCTAGCTGTTGTTAAAGATGACAGTGAACAAACCTGCAGGCAAACAATATCAGCTGATTTACTGTTAATAATGAATATTTATGTACTGTAATTAAATTATACAAATTTTTGATGTTTTACTAAATCTGACATTATAAACAATCTGAGTTTTTATCACTGCAATCTCATTTGTTTATTCAGTTTAACATTATCAGTTCTTCATTGTCATTAAATAAGTATAGACAAATCCCTCGGTTATTACAACAAATATTTTTTTTCCTGTATAATGTCAATTTAATGAGACCATTAACATTTATTATTATTATAGTAAATTGTAATTAATGTCATACAAACTGTTCGCTTTAAATTTAAACAACTGTTAAAAATGTTTTTTTTTATTAACACTCGGTACTTTATTAAATTTAGGTTAATGGAAAAGTTCGTGTAGTTTTGAAGCCACTAGTTAAAAAGATGCCCCTAATTGGTGCTGTCACAGTATTTTTCTTAAATAATCCTGTAAGTATTCTTCTTAAATGTTTAAACATTGATAATTTAAATGAAACTTATTTCTAAATATTTGTTTCCTAATGTATAAAGACTATTGTTATATATATATATGTATATATTTTTTTTAAATGTTTGTTAACAATACCGGTAATCAACTTAGAAGACATGACTATAAACAATAGCGAGCATTGCATGGCTTTTGAGTTGCACAAGACTCAACGTCGACAATAATGCTTGTGCCGCATATCGGAGAGACTCTGAGAGAAATGCTTAGATAATATCACAATACTATTTGAAAGAGATAAAAGTATGTTAGAAGAAATGATTTTTGTTACATTGACATTCTTACAGTAAATAAATATAATTTGACTGATGACAATCAAGATATAGTGAAGGCTGGATGGCTGAGTGGTTAGGGTGGCAATCTACTGGTTGTGGGATCTGGGATTGAATCTGAATGGGTTGAAAGGTCAAAAATTTCCTGGAATTTTTAGGGATAGTCCATCTGGATATGTTTGGCCTGTCCCTTGCCATCCAGTGGCTCTGTCCCTTGCCACCCAGTGGCTCCATTGTGGGTCTAGACTAACATAAATGGGCATCCCAATACGGTTCCATCATCCCAGTTAATGGACAAATAATGTGATTTGTTATATATTTTTATTTGGTGTGTTTCTCTCTATTATTAAGTTATAGTTTGTATATTTCGTCCATATGTATAACTGTTGTCCTAGACCAGGGGTCGGCAACCTTTTGAGTCGGAAGAGCCAAAATTACAATTTACAAAATTTCAAAGTTTTTAGAGCCACAAAATTTTTTCTTGCAAACAATAAATAGTACTCGCATAAATAAAGTTTCTTGATAAAAAAAAAACTAATCTATTTATTCATATATAAGTGGTGTTTTTCACAACAAATTAAATAATAGAAACATCCGATGACGGCGTCATTCCAGAGCTTCCGACGGACTGACGACAGTGACGACGCGTGTCACGGGGGAGGGGTGCGGTGAAAAGCGAGTACAAGTGGCTGAGAGATAGAATCGGTG